ATATCAAGGAAGTTGCGGCAGTGTTGTATGCCGGTAGGAAGCACCATATCGAATACTCCTTCAAGCTCAACTAATAACGCTTATCTCTTTGGCCGGGTCTGATACAACAGTGGCTGTCCTCCATACGTTAATTCTTCAGCTCATTCTACATCCTGAGATCCAAAGTCGGGTCCATATAGAACTGGATAGTGTTGTAAGCTCTCCAGACTCACCTGAATTTCGTTTACCGGTGTAGAAAGACCGTCCACAAACACCATACCTGGCTGTACTCATTAAGGAAATCCTATGCTGGAATCCAGCCGCTGGAATCCAGCTGCTGGAACAGGTCTGCCACATGCTGTAATGGAGGAAGACGAATATCGTGGGTGGAGGATCTCCAAAAGATCCATCATCTTTCCAAATGCTTGGGGAATATTTCGTTCCAAAGAATACTACAAGGAACCAGGAATCTTCAGGCCTGAGCGATTCCTAGGAGAGAATCCGGAAGCTGATCCTGCAGTTACAGGAGCCTTTGGATTTGGAAGGCGGTAAGTATTTACCAGTACTCAGAATTGGAGAATATTCAAAGAATATCTTGACAATGTATATCTCAAGAGTATGCCCTGGGCGTCTGCTGGCTGAAAATATGCTTTGGTTAGAATCAGCATGTCTCACATACTCTAGCTGAAATTATTAATAATCCCCCAGCGTAGGATGGGCTCGCTTACCCAGCGACCAGTTAATAATTAATAACTGAAGGATAAGATTAATCCTACCAGGTGGGGTTGCGGTCTCATTATTAATCGGTTAATAGTAATAGTCAACAACCAAAAAATTACGTAGTCACGGGTTTGAACCCACAACCCAACAGCGAAATGAGACAGGCCAAGCCACTGCACCATGGTGACTATTAAAATATTGTAAAAAATTGTTTTACATATACAGCAGGCGCGCCAAACAACCTATAAAAAAAGAGGGAAAAAGCATTAATCCCTGGATATTGCAATTATTAATTATGATAAAACACCTTAAAGTGCACGGGCAAGGATTAATGGAGGATTAATAGTACAATAATCGGAAAGATTAATGGATATTATTAATTGTGGAATAATCGAAAGTATTAATACAACCAGTATTGTTATTGCCCAGTCGTAGACGCCCGTGTCTTTGTCGCGATAATCTTTATTATTAATTTTTTTGATACTCTAGTTGCCATGTCTTTAATAGAAAGGTCCGTTTCAAGTAACTTAGTAACCTCCTTGTGGCCGAGCGGTAGAATGTTGAGCATCTAATGCCATATTTCCTGAGGTCTTTGGTTCGAAACGCTCTATAAACATTCTTTTTTAAGTATGAAAAATTTAGTTATTTACTAACCATTTTCGAGCCGCTACAGTTATTAATTATTAACTGGTCCATGGGTAAGCGAGCCCTCCCTACGATGGAGGATTATTAATAATTTCAACTAGATGACCTCCATGTCTTTTATCTGCTTTCAAATTCTCGCACGTCAAAGATCAGTGTGGCAATGTCATTTATATCGACTATGAAACTACGCCAATGCCAGGATTTGCTCTGTAAGTCTATTCATGTTTGAGAATGTAAGCAACGACCTGATAGACCGCATATAGACACCCTCCTGATTTTCCTTATTCAATTACTCCAAGGTCTAACAAGATGGAAAGGATTATTCAAGAAACTGAGCTATAAGATTTATCTGGCATTAGGAGGGTGAATTAAACGAAATTGATGCAAGGATGGAGAAGTTACATCAAATTCCATGTGAATCAGCGAACTAATTATATAATTATATCAAGGGAATATTTAATTTATTTATTCATATCTGGCTCTATCCCTTATGATATTTCGGCTTAAGTAGACGATGTCAGATGTCAGTCCGATAGTGGCTATTCTGGCGGTCTGTCAGTGAATTCGGAGCCAAATTCGGCAATTTTTATTTGCCAAGTATTAATATTAATATTGACCTTTATATTTATGACTATGCCTTACTTGAAGACTCAATTCATAGGAAATTGAGGTTCCCGCTATTCACGTTTCTTTTCAGAGAGGATCTGGTGGTCACGGTGCATATCGGTGGCTGAGAGAGCTAATGATATAGGTTCGGGTTCTTGCTGCTTCAAGAGCATTTAATTTGGGATTATCGGCCATAAGTTCAATAATAGCTATAAGTAAGATATGCAGTTGCGATTAAAGACGGTAGGACACCGCCATACTTAACTTCGGATTCATATTACAGTCAAGGCACGGTCCTTATCCCAGGCCCACTCCTTGTCCCAGGATATCCTAGAGCCTCATTCTCCATACTTTATGTCATTTTTTTAATCTGAATAATATGATCATAATTTATACTATAATATGAAAAAGAAGCGGAGCAATTGAGCTACTGCTGCCTGAGATATAACACATAATCTGGGAGATATTGAGCATATTCCGGGCAAACCAAAATATTTTGACTCTTTGGTCTCATTAAATCACTCAAATACTTTCAATTTATCTTACACAATAAGGCTATAGCACTGTAAATTGAAGACCCTGCCAAGAAAATATAACATTGAATGGTATTCAGGTGTGGGATGATCAATTTCCGATGATAGGTGATGAGATTGTGACACTACCATACAACATGCACACATGCACACATACTACAGTGTTATAATTCTATGTATATTGACAATAATATTTTATAATATGCCATATATGATTAATTGGTAACTTAATTAGTGTTACTAATGTATATTAAAGACAAGGATAGGCCAATTGGGTGTTGGGACAAGGAGTGGTTTGTGTCACATTTTGTGACAGTAACTCTCTCCCAAGTCAGTACCTCCAAACACTGGTGAAATCATCCAAATGTTTTATGTAACATACTCTGATATGTATAGTATCTGAACATCAAAACATATCATTGAAGACTTTCGAAGAAAATATTTGAGAGCCCGATTTCATAGTGTTGGGACAAGGATCGTGCCTTAACTGTACTAAGGCTTCGAAGCGGTTCTCAGCGCGTATATCCTTCATCTTACAGCCCATCTATCCTCTATCCCCACAGTTTTCGACACAACAATGAGTTACATTTCATATGCATGGGTCCACGCTGCTGCTTCCTTCATCTACTATTTCTTCAAGGACCGACACATATTACCCCTGCCTCCCGGACCCAAGCGTCTCCCCCTTATCGGCAATGTCTTCGACATGTCTACAAGTTATGAACACGTCAAGTATGCAGAGTGGGGAGACAAATATGGTGACGTTGCGCATGCTATCACATTCGGCAAACACGTGATCCTCTTAAATTCGATCAAGGCGTGTACTGAGCTTTTGGAACATCGGAGCATTATCTATTCCGATAGACCAGTTTTACCGATGATCGTTGACCCTGTACTGTGAGTCGTCCGAGAAGTGGTTCAACCCAATCATTTAATGTATGTCTTTAGGATGGACATGGGATGGCCTTTCTCCAATCTATGATATTCGAAGCGATGGAAACGACATCGCCGACTATTCACGCAATACGCTAACCCGACGACAATAACGCAGGTATTTGCATGAAGACAGACGTCTTCTGTCCGTATGCTTCTTGGGTTGTTACTATTCAATCCAGAAAATCTGAAGAAGCATCTAATACATGCCTCTGCTAATTTAGTGCTGGGCATTACCTATGGGTATACCGTACAATCTGGGCAAGATCCAGTTGTTGCTGTAGCCGAAGAGGTTATGGTGAAAGCGAATGAGTGTATGAACCCAAAATACTTGGTGAATCTCCTTCCCATATGTAAGTAACTTCGATCAATTATTTTACCAATGTGTAAATTACCTATATTTTTCTGGTGAAACGGCCCCCACATGGTTTCCAGGAGCAGGGTGGAAACGTTTCGCGCAGCTTGAAACCAGGCCTGTGGTCCACCGATTACTGAAAGAACCGTTCCATGCGGCACTTGAAAAGATTGTTAGTGAGAAATAGTAACGTGTGAAGTTAGGAATAATTATACTCACATTTTTGTAGGCTAGCAAGAAAGGAACAGCATGTGTAGTCTAGCAGGCCTTGGCAGATAGGACTGAAGGCGATGACTCCGGTATAGAAGATGATGTCAGAGAAATAGACGCAACAATGTATGCAGGTGCGAAAGGACATACAATATTCCCGGCACAAGTTTACTTAATATCTATTCCTTTTAGCTGGTCCCGATACAACGGTCGCTGTGATTTATGCATTAATACACCAGTTAATTCTACGTTCGGATATTCAAAAGCGTGCTCGATTGGAGCTGGATAGCGTTGTAGGTTCTCCGGACTCACCTGAATTTTGTTTACCAACATTGGAAGACCACCCACGCACACCATACCTCCAAGCCTTAATTAAGGAAATCCTAAATTGGAATCCAGCTGCTGGGCCAGGTGTTCCACATTCTGTAACGGAGGATGACATATATCGTGGATGGAGAATCCCCAAAGGGTCCATTATCTTCCCGAATGCTTGGGGGTTACTTCGTTCAGAGGAATACTATACGGAACTGGCAAACGTCTTCAGGCCTAAACGATTCCTAGGAGAGAATCCGGAACCCGATCCTTCTATTAGCGGAACCTTTGGATTTGGAAGACGGTAAGTGATCATGAGTTGCTTAGAATCGAGATATTTTGCTCAGTCAATATAATTCTCAAGCGTATGTCCGGGACGTTTGCTGGCTGAGAATACATTTTGGTTGGAATCTGCCTGTCTTTTTCCTCCTTCAATTTCTCACATGCAAAAGATCAGAATAGAAAAGACCTTGAAATACAGTATGCGACAACACCGAAGGCGGGGTTTGTTCTGTGAGGAGTTTTTATCCTTGCGAATGTGAATAATCAGTTGACGTTTTGCGTAGACATCCTCCCGAATTCCCATGCTCAATGAATCCGAGGTCTAAGAACGTGAAAAGGGTTATTCAAGAGACTGAATCATTTTGAACAGGTTATAGTAGAAGAAGCGAGAGGAAGAGGGTAGGAGGCCAGGAGAACTATATATCGGCCGCCTGGCGAAATGGCATCGCATCTGACTACGAACCAGGAGAATGTAGGTTCGAGCCCTGCGGTGGTCATCATTGTTTTTTTAATTTTTTACCCCTGAAAATATTTCTGAATCGACCACGACGAATAGTTCTGTCTTGCCATTTTTACACGCCAAGAATTATGCGTTTTACTTGTCTACCAGAATACGGCGTCATTTCTCATCGTTTGTATTACTGCATTCATATATTTATATCTGAGGTAATAGAAGCTGATATTACAGGCATCGCTCCTTTCTCTCTTACCATCACCATGTCGCCCCTCCTTTCCGAGTCAGTCAATCCCTGTCCTCTCATTCCCTCGCCTTATACTTTCGACGGCCCATTTCAAAGAACAAGTATTACAGGCTCAAATTGAGAACGACTCTATTAGCTTATCGTCTCCATAACGGAGTATTCTTTCAGGGATTCGCAGTTACGAACCCCGGATGCAAATATTTGCTTATGAAGTCGACCTGGACCCTGGAA